TGTAAAATGATCCATCAATGATGTATCCCATTGAATCTGACCAAGATACCATTTCTTCAACAAAATCATTAAGAGCAAGATGGCCTCCTCCAAGTTGTTTTTTGAACCATCCGTTTGAGCAGCCAAACATGGGGGACCAGCCTCTACACCACCATATAGCAGGAGGACTGCAAATCTTTTCTGTATCCCCACACGAAATTCATCTTCAATGATTTTGTCCACATCAAAGTTGTTGAATACACAACCCCATAGTTTAAGATCAAATTCCTCAGTCATTTCATCTTCGTAGACATGCTGCAAGAGAGTTGTCTCTCTGATACCACCATGTCCCACTATGGATAGAGGAGAAATGTTTCTGTACAATTCAATTACAGGATGCTCGTTTGATGACTTCCTTAACCATTGCATAACAAGCTCCTTATCCTTGAAATTTCGTCGAACAGTTTGGGTGCATTGCACTGAATCAATTTTGTCAATCGAATTCAGACAGGGCATGTTCACATCTGCAGGGAAAACATTCCCAATAAAAATAATATAGTTGGCATTTAACTCAATCTCCCCATTTCCATGATCCACCAATTGCCGTTTAATTCGTTTGGCAGCTTCAACCGCTAATTCCTCAAGGGCAGTTTCAACCTCGACGGAGTTGGAACAGGCGATGACACTAGACTTAAGGCATGCAAGCGGATATGATTGGGAAATCTGAGCGAATGCGGGTGCGCGGGGGAGGGAGAATACTGGGGCAGTTTCCGTCAAGGCTGCTCGAACATTGGATGTCTTGGTGATTTGAGAAGAACCGCGTTCAGTGAAAGCTTCTTGAACTTTGGATGCTTTTTGAGAAGAATGGAGGGGATTAGATTCACTGAAGTTTGCTTGAACTTTGTGTGGCTTAGTGACTTGAGAAGATGATGGGGCGTGGTCTATGAGAATCAGATTGACGGGATGGACCGGGGTTTGAGGAGCAAATCTGTCTTCCATGTTCGCATCGTCGGATGCTGCCGGATCGGACAGTGAAAGCAGGGTCGGCGGAGCAACATCGCGAGAGCAGAGACGGGGCTCCGTCTGAGCGGGCGGTAATGGAGGATGGGTAGCGGCTGGATTGAGAGGAGCTAGAAGCGGTCTAGTGAGCTGAGCAGAGACAGAATCGTTAACAACAGTGGCAGTTGCTTCTTCGGCTTTCATATACCGATCGTCATGTCCATCTTTCTCAGTCGAAATACCCAAATTATCATTGATTATGCTGTGCGAATCAAAGTCCTGCTGGACATGCACTAGAGGCTGGAAGGAATCGGAAGTGAAATCGGAATAAGCTCCGACGCAGGACATTGGGCGTGCGAACAGATCTGAACGGATTTTGGCATGCTTGAGTGGAGGGGGTTTGCTGAAGACGCCCTCGGGCTAGTTGCGAACTGCACGAACAGGAGGAGGATCTCGCCATCGCAATGGAAGCTCGAGCGGTGGGTATTCTGGTGATGGATCACGCCATCGGAGCGAGAGTTCGAGCGGAGCATAGTCATCAACGACCGTGGGAGTATGGCAGGATTGATGGCGTTTGCGTGAAGTGGACGAGGAGATCGAAGAAGAAGAATACCTCGGTATGGTTGCCGACGACATTCTCATCTTCCTTATTGCTCGAAGGTTTTCGCGAATCCGATCAAGGTTTCTGTCTACCTGATGGAGCGATTCCTTCGATTGAGCTTGATAGAAGGCGATCCGGCTTCGAGCATCGTCGACAACCTACCTTCCTTGGCGTCGATCATCGTCGACCGCCAATCTTGTTTTGTGGCTTCGATCGTCGTCGACAGCCGACCTTCTTCCGCAGTCCATCGATCTTCACAAGCTCCAGGCTCTGATACCAACTGATGTAGTGGATCGTCGGAAGATGCGACCTGCAAGAAGGATTTAGGTTTTCCCAATTCAGGGAAGAAGAAGAAGAAGCTTTCAAAACTTTAAAAAGGGGATACTTTCATTCTATCCTTTTCTTCTGCAAGACCTCCTACTTATAAGACCAAAAGAGCATTCTAGAAAGAAATGACAACAAATTAGATAAAGTACTCATAAGGAACCATTCTAGCTTAAATGCACCGCATCACGGAGTTAATTATGGAGTGAAATTTTGACGATTTAATTATTTATATTAATCCCAATAATTTTTAGAGAATAAAAGTAGTGCCAATGATGAGCCATAATGAATGATAATAATATTGAAATCTAAATATTTATCCTCTAGAAAATTGTCCAATGTTGCCAATGACTTATGATTGGAAATCATAAAGGCATTTTTAATTAGTTTTATGCATAAACAAGCATAGCATACAATATGATATACATATATTGCATGTTATACATTGTATATCATAAATAAGTGTTCATTTCGAGCCAACTAGGTCTATAGTCAAGCTCGATATCAATTTGAAATTGATTTTGAGTATGTCAGAAGCTCGAATCAGCTCGAAATCAAGCTGATTTTAGTTTGAGTTGAATAAAAATACGAGTAAGGTTTCATTTGGGACAACTTTTTTCGTACTTCTAGTTCTAAAAATAACTTTCTAGTACTAAAAAGCTGCTTTAAGAAGCGATAAGAAAGCCGTCTCAAACAAAACCTAAGTTTCAAATTTCAAACTTTTTAAAGAGTCCAAGCCATTCCATTAGATTCATTTTTCATGTTCAACTTGTTCAATATATCCTACTTTGGTTCTTAGTCTAATCCATTTGGTTAGACTTGAAATTGATTTCAAATCAGGCAAGAAGCTCAAAGCAACTCAAAATTAATCGAGTCTGAGTCTATTTTTGAGTCAATTCAGCTGATTTTTAGTTGAGTCAAAACCCAAGCTATAAGCTTTGAATTTAGAACTATTCTAATAGACTAACAATTTGCTTTATGATAAAGCTCAAGCACATAAACATTTATGATATGTACCCTATCAAATCTCGATGAGAAAATGAATAAAGATATGCCATATGCAAACAACATAGTATGGTGTATTTATAGTAAATTCCCCTTACATATTCAATCTAATGTACACCAACTAATAGAATAAATAAATAAGTTCAATCATAAACTCTATTTATCATTTTCTTGCTATATCAAAGTTCATTTTTCACCACTTCCACCCTACGTGCGTCCGGAAGCTAACTCGGGCGTGCCACATCACATAATACACTGTGTATTGAATGACATGACACGTCCGAATTTGCCTCTAGACGCGTCCGGACACCTCACATAATAATTTTTCCTTCATCATAATGTTTTTTATCATATCACAAAATTTTTTATGTAATTATATATCGAACGAGAAAAGAATCAAAATGGTTTATTTATTATTTATGAAATATCAAAGTAGTTCTCAACTATATTAAAAAAAATGTTTTGATCTCTCAACTCCTGAAAGAAGAAGCAAAATAGTCTCGCAATGATATTTTTTTAATTCCCTTTTTAGAAGCATAAGAGATAATAATGATATTTTAATATAATTGAGGATTATTTTGATACTTCATAAAGAGTCAATGTACTATTATTTCAACACCAAAATCTTTATATGTAAAAATTTAGGACATATATGAAAATCATCTATTTTTTAATTTTAGTTTACAATTTGAGTGTGAAAACATGTATTTAATGAAGAAGATATTTGATACATCCTCGAAAAATTATCTTGATCGTGCACGAATCTTGAGGCAAAATCAAGTTGGAAACTTCCAAAATTAAAATTGGGACCATCCAAACTCCAATTTCCGCAACCTTATAGTTGAACTGAACGTTTCAGAAATACGGACCCAACGACACCAAATTCGACTAAATCCGAGCCCAAATGGGTTTGAATCGAGGACTCGAAGCATTGTTGGAAGGTTCAAACCACAATTTGGATGACCAAACGGTTCCAAACATGACATGCTTATAGTCGAATTGAGCGGCTCGACGAGATGAATCAAACGAGCCTAAAATCGCAGAATTTTTACATCATTAAGACCTTTAAATGTCTGATGAACGGTTCACAATCAAGGGATTCAACATCGGCCGTCCATCCAAACTACTCCCCAATTGCCCTTAATCATATCCTCCTCCTATTTACGGGTCATGTTACTCAAGGAAATCTATAAATAGACCCCTCCTCGCTCTTGAAAGAGGACTCCAAGCAAGAGAGCAAGAGAGAGGTCAGATATCGCTTTTGGCTCCTCGCTCCTCCTCAACCACCGCCTGGAGTTCCGCCGGATAACAACTTTGAGGCCTTGAGTTTCGCCGGACCACCACGTGACGACTGGAGTTTCGTCGGACTACCACTTGACGCCTAAAGTTCTACCGGACCACCACCTGACGCCCGAAGCTCTACTAGACCACCACTTGAGGCCCGAACTTCTACCGGACCACTACTTGAGGCCTGAACTTCTGTTGGACCACCACATGATGCCCAAACTTCTGCTAGACCACCACCTGATGCCCGGACTTCTGCTGGGCCACCACCTAACACTAGAGTTCTACCGGAGCACCACCATACTACTATGATATTTTTGACTCTAGTCTCGTGCCGACTATGATTTTTTTCTACCTATGTCGCTTACTATGGTTCTTCTGACCTCCATCGCGAGACAACGATCTTTCTAACCTCTGTCTCATGTCGACTATGGTCCTTTTGACCTCCGACACTTACTACGGTTCTTCTGACATCTATAGCCAGACAACGGTCTTTCTAGCCCCGGTCTTTTGCTGACTACGTGTCACGACCCGACCCGAGACGAGACGGATCCCGCCCGCGCTGGATTGCGACGGAGCTGCACTAACCAGGATCTAGCTTTGGAATTTGGTTCGGAACTGAATCTTCCAAATAATTAATTCACACAGACTAACAAACACAGAGCTACTATGTATCATCCTGCCTCCTTTCGACTACGGTCATTCCTATTGACTATGATCTACCGACTAAACAAATATGTATATGCTGATTATTGTAACTCCCACCATAAAAAAAGCTTTATATGATGTTCATTTTTGACATCAAGCCTATGACTTTTCCCAAGGAAGGGTCTCATTTGTAAACAATTTCTCCATTTTTCACAATCCTCTTGTCCGGCTACTGCTTCCACGATAGATGAGCTTCAGATTGTTCCTTCTAGAATTGAATTTCCCCCTCTCCGCCGACAGGAGAATCGCCGGTGAAGTCCATAAAGGAAGAGCCTTCAGTACATATGACTTCGTCGGCGGCGAGTATTCCGGCAAGAGCGCCTATGAAGTGTTGGGGATCTCGGAAAAGAGTTCATCAGCGGAGATCAAGGCTTCTTTCCGGAAACTCGCTAAGGAGACACACCCGGACGTTTGTAATTCTCCCGATGAGGCCGCCGCCTCCCTTCGGTTCCTCCAAATCCTTGCTGCATATGAGGTGCTTGTTGTTAGTTGTAAAGTGCACGGTTAGAATTTTGATAAACTATTGATTTCTTTTCGGGTATATGTATCGTAAGATTTCGAGGAATTCGTTTTCTGTATGTTACGATTGTTGCGATTTAATAAGGCGAAAAATATGGCGGGTTGGGTTTTTGGACTGGTTAGGCTTAGGGTTTTTTAATTGTTTTACTAGTCAGATTGCTGCTTGCTTTGTTGTGGGGATTTGTTTTTCTTATGTGAGATCTGTTTGGTTCTGTGCGGTTTGTTCGGGCGGGTTTATAGTAATTTCAATGCCCAGTTTAACTGTATAGCGTATGCTCAGAGCAGTGGAGCCTGTAGATCCTACAGCCGATGATTTGGTCCTTTGACATTTACGACTAACTCTGTTTTGGGGTTGTTGGATGGGAGAAATTATTACCTGCAGCGCAGACTAACGTAAGTAGCTCTACTGCCTCACTATGAGAGTATACAGTTATGTACTCACCGTGTATTCCGGTACTCCACATACAGAACTATGTTATGTAGTCCACGGGTTAGAAGTTCTCGTTGGTCGGCAAAGTTTGATTTTTTGACGGGCTTAATCTTTCTTGCTTCTTAATCAATGAGTTCAATGCCAGAGTAAATTGTTTGTTCTTGATTTTTTTGTACTTTTATGTTGTTTTGCTTGGTATCTTGAAGTTCCTTTTGACTTTGCAAATTCCTTTAGTTTCAATATATACATCAGTCTTTCCAAGTTTCCTCTCTGCAACAACAATCCTCTCAGGAGTCCTCTAAGCCTTGATTATATCAGCTCGATCTCCACATGCTGTTCCGGGTCGTTGATCTTGTAATCAAGTAATTAGGCACTAAGGGTGGTTTACATTTGGATTTGAGCGGGAGTTAGAATAGGATTATAACATATTTACTTTTTTGAGCTTTATTGCTTGTTTGCTGGAAGAATCAAGGAGGAGGTTTGTTAGAAATTTCGAATTAAAATTTGAATTTGAATATAACTAAATACGGGGATATTATAAAGGGTTTTTTTACTATTGGTGGAGGAGCGAGAAGGGGTGAGGTGAGGGAGATTGGAAATCCTAAGGGTAACTTTTTGTTTATAGAATAGTAACTTTACTATTCACGATGTAATTTCATGGATGATGAAATCATAGGAAATCAAAATCAGGTGGCTTCATATGGTAAAATGAATTTGGCTGGATGGAAAGGGAAAAACCAGAGAATTGATTCACGTACCAGAAATCATTGATGGTGTGATGAAATGATCCAACACCTTAATGTAACTTGCTTTAGAAGTAGCAACTTTATGGGGCTGTTTGGTAGAATCTAGGATTTCATTTAAGAAGGATTTCGTAAATCCTCCAAATCTGGATTTACGAAATCTTGAGGGGGTTAAATCCTGAAAATTGTTTGGTAACCTTCATGATAAATCCTATGTGACTGTTTGGCTATTCCATTCAGGATTTAAGGAGGTTGAAATATTTGGGCGGAGTTTCTTCCTTCTCGCGCCAATAGAACCAGAGGATTTCGGAAATCCGCCGAACGAGAGGATTTCTGAAATCCAGGATTTAAGATGAAAAAGCGGAATTTTCCATCTACAGAGGCTTTGATTTTCCGTGAGATTTGGTTTTGCATTTTAGGCCGTTTGGCTGGATTTTGCCTAAAATCTGCCTAAAGTCTAGCCTAAATCCGCATACCAAACAGCCCCTACATTTGAAATGAACCAATAATATTGGTTCGAACAAATTTGATGACATTGATTAGAATATTCCTGATAAATTAGTGAAAACTTTTGGAGAAAACTCTAATATCCATACAAAAAATTCAAAATAGACACTCTTAAGTGTTACTCATGGTAACATATTCTTGCCATCCATTTAACATGCTTGTAAAAGTTAATTCATGTGTTTCATCCATTGTGATTTCTGTTGGTGATCTAATTTTTCTGATTTTGTGTCTTTTTTATTTGTTTATTTTTGGTGTTTGATGTTTTGCTCTTTTTTCCATTGTAGATTCTGTCAGATTCTGAAAGGAGGGTTCACTACGACATCTTTCTGTTTTCACAGAAGAAGATATTGCAAAAGAAATCAGGATATTATTCAGTTATGTACACATATAACTCTAATATAGCTATATCAAAGCCGGATGAGGTTGTTGAATGGCTAAAATGGTACCGGCATGTAATCGATGATATTGTTACCCAGAACAAAGTTGCAACTGGTTCTGGTTATTTAAATGAACTTGAGAGTGAACTTTATTCAGCAATACATTTTGCTTATTATGGCCCTATTGTTGATTCTATGAATCTTCTTCCTAATAGTTTTGAAGCTGAGGAAAGGTCATTGCGTGAAACTTCTGAGGTTCTGCATTTGGTTTCTGGGAGATATCTTTTTGGAGTTATTTATACAGTTGATAAGGTTCTTGAATTATCACATTTCCACTCAGAAAAGTTGGCTTCTTTTGAATCTTCAGAAAGTGTAGCTTTTCAGTGTTGTAGTAAGGAAAGGATGGGTGTTAACTCCAGTTTACCTGGAGGTGAATATTTTCAGGAATTAGAAGTGCGAGAAAAAAGAAACCATGGAACAGATATGTACAAAAACCTGGAGCTGCATATTTCTGGAAAATTAGTTGCTACAGCGACCAGGAGTCCTCATTGCAAATCAAAGTGTGACTCTATGGCTGACAACGAAGATCATATAAATATTTTTCTTAATCTGAATGAAAATAACCACATAGACAACGCAGGGCCTCAGAATTCCAATGCAGTTGAGTCTAAGATTCTCTTGGGAACAATCACTGGTCTAGGAAGTAATGCAGAAGAAGGAATATGTTCTGTTTATGATCGAAATGGGCAAAAAACTCATGTGATAGTAAAACATAGAACTTTGCTGGTGCGCAAGGCCCTTTACATCTTTAAGAATTTGATCTTACGGTTCAATTATATGGTTGACTTGCTATCGTTGCCAGTGTTCAAGAATGGTTACTTCATTATCCTCTACTTTTGCCTTAAGTTTTAAGTTTGATATATGTATTGATTTGCGGTTTGAACCTTCGAATTGTTTTTTTTTATCATGGTTGTTACTTGAGAGAAAATTTTATAAGATTGTGGTGAGACCGGCAATGCTTTATGGCGCAGAATGTTGGCCATTAAAAGAGAATAATAATATTAAGTTAACTGTTGTTGAGATGAGGATGCTCTGGTGGATGAGTGGATTTACTTTTAGAGACAGGATACAAAACGAGCATATCCGCGAAAAGGTTGGAGTAGCTCCAGTGACGGATAAGATTAGAGAGAGTCGCCTTAGATGGTTTGGTCATGTAAAACAACAGCCTTTCGATGACCTTGTTAGGAGAGTAGATGCATTAGATTTGACCTATGTTAAGAAAGATAGAGTTAGACCTAAAAAGGCTTAGTTAGAAATTATTTAAAATGACCTTTCTTTATTAGATTTTAATGAGAATTTGACTCTTAACATGACACAATGGAGAAAAATGATTCGTGTAGCCGACCCCACGTAGTGGGATAATGGCTTGATGTTGTTGTTGTTGTTGGTTATTATTATCTTTTTTTTTTCTTATTGCAAAAGGTCACCATTGTATTATTTCTATGCTAACATTAATATATTCTTAATATTCATTATTATCATGATTGTCATCGATTGTCTATATCACTTTGAGCCAATTCATGATATTTATATATCCGTCCTCACCACCTTGGCAACCAGAACCCTTGACCTGTCAAGGTATTTCCCTCCATTGTTTTATTTGTGCGAAACTAGAAGCATTATAGAACCTACTTGAACATAGAGAAGCTAACTCTTCTGAACTCACCTTCCACTCATTTTTAACTCCTTTTACTGTTTCACATTGCAATTTCCTTAAAAGAGGCACAAATTTATCATAAAGTCCACATGCTTTTGTGAATATATTCACAAAAGCAATTTTTTAAAACAATAAATTGGAATCCTTTTGTGCATACATATTCACAGAAGAAAGGCCATTTTATTTATATTTAGATGTACTAAAAGATTTCTCCAAAATAGAATTAATACCTTATATAGCATTCATCATAAATAAACGAAGAATTAGTATTCATAAAGGCGGACTTTAGTAGTTGGGACTAGTCCGCTGATGATGAAGATGATTGTGATCCATATGTAGCTGGTCTCAACTTTTTGATGAGATTCATTCTCTTGTATCTCATTGATTGGTTAAACCAGCCTGAATGCTCCCTCTGTTTGTACTAAACATGCACTGCTGTAGGACTAACCAAAGCACTTCACAGCTCTGTATGCTGCATCAATCTCGTACAATTTATATACCTTCAAGAAGTCAGTATCTTTTAATTCCATTGCAGTGACTTCATGGTCCTACTTGCTAAAATTTCAGTTGGAGATTTAGGCTTCATTTGGGATGGCTTTCTTACTGCTTCTTAATGCAGCTTTCTAGTATACAAATTAAGATTTTTGTTTTAAAAAGTTGCTTTAGGAAGCAGTAAGAAAGCCATCCCAAATGAAACCTTAGTCATCTTTTGTATTTTTCATCGGTCTCCCCAAGAGTTTAGCTTATTCATCCTTTTGGTTGGTTGCTTACGTATTAACTATGTTGAAGGGAGTCCTAATTACTTGTTGATAAAATTGCAGTTGGAGATTTAATCATCTTCTTTATTATTCATCCATCTCCTCAAGAGTTTCTTCTTATATAATAATTTATAACTAATCATCTTTGTATGGTTATACAGTAGCTTTGCAGTGTCTTATTTTCTGGCATGATCAAATAGTACAATAGCAGGAAATATGAAAGTATACCATTTAAACTTTATAGAACTTGTTTGCGTTTTTTGATGTTTCCATGTATGTCTTTCCAGGTGAAGCACATGCACTGGTTTCAAATTGGTGACGGTGAAGTTTCAGCATATGAATGTAGATGTACCAGAGCCCGCTTGCCCCCTAGCAAGTAAGCAGATTGTTTTATCTAGTTTCTTGAAGCGGAGGAAAATTGAGTATTCTCATTCAATACCTGAAGGTTCCAATCGATTATAGAAATAATTTCATGCCATGAAATCTAGGCTTTGATGGGTGTTAAAATCCAAGCTACATAACATTTATTTATTTGAACATTCACCGCAAGGTGAAAATATTTAGAATTTAAAATCTATTAAGGTATGCACTTCTAAAACAAATTTGTGTTTTTGTTTCTAGTGAATACATGTACTTATAGTATATGTGCTAGTTCTTCTTGGAAGTATTTTAATGACATATAGTTAAATTTGTGATTAACAAAAATGGGGAAAAAAAAAAACGTTATGCTGGTTAAGTTTTGCCTTCGTTTTTTTTTCTCAGATTAGTTATTAAAAAATTTCCGAGTAATTTGTATTGTTATATTTGATAATTGAATGCAAAATTATTCTTCAGATACTGGCTTTTTGAACCTCGATCTTCTATGCATGACATTGGTGGTTGGTATGTTGAAACATTTGGACAAAACAAAAAGGGGAGGACAGTCCTTTCCCGAAGGCATTGGGATGGTGTTAATGAACATCCTGAAAAGTAAGTATTTTCCTACTAATTCTTGTATTATACAAGATTGTTAGTTATCTCTAAGTATTTTCGACATTTCGAACGCAACGGTGAAGTCAGTTTCGCGAATGGACATTGTTTGGGCAACGGCCCACATCATCACATATGTAGACCGTTGATTATGATCACCTTTACTTGATTTGATTACAAGGGGTCCACCCGAAGTAAATTTGATGTCCTGATCACATCGGCGCAGTTTGTTTGGCGATTGGAAGCCGTTTGGGTAGTTTTGTGCAGCGTTATGCTTATCAACCTTTGCTTCTGTTGCTTGAGTCATGCATAATCAGCTCGCTTTAAGCAAATTTGATGCTCTGAATTCGTCAATGCGATATGTTTTGTTATCAGACAATAATTGAGTAATTCAATGTGGGATCGAGGCGCTTCGACACCCGTTTTGCATGACCTCGTATTTGTTAATCATCATTCTCTTCATATTCATTGGACTCAATTTTAGAATATATATGGAGGTCAACAAACTTCCATACCTCTGTCTCTTCCCTCTCCACGCTCATTAGCTCCCATACTCTCACTTTCATTCTCCTAATTAGTACATAGGCTGCTCTCAAACCCAATCACCCTCTATTTCATGCGCCTTAAGCTACTTGAAAACTCCATCTCCCCTGGTTGCCTTTCTCCATCTCCAGCTCCTACCCAAATTCCTGAGATCCCTCACAGTTAGGGAAGTGAGGAAGTCGTGAGAACCTGCTGGGAGAAGCGAGGAAGTCAATTTTTCCTCTATATGCTGCTTTCTATTCCAGGAAATAATTTCCATCTGGAATATGCTATGTAGTACACGAAATTTATTCGAAGGCTCTGGAATTTTCATGATCCTTTGAATTAATATTTTTTTGTTTCACTTCTATAACTGCAGGAGACTCCATCCAGCCATTTATTTACTAGCCCTTGCATATAGAACTTTAGATATCGAAGATGCAAAAAGAAAGAAGAGAACTGTTAGAGATTTTCTAGAACCAAAAATGCAAAATATTGTTCGCTGGTGTAAAAGGTTCATATGATGCTAACATTCGAAGATTAAGGGGGTGCAATAAGAAGAAATTTTTGTTGCTTAATATTTGTGGATGGCTACCAAGGACCTGTCATGCAGGAATTCTGATGGTCATTTATTCTTTTTTGTGACCATTTCATTGGGAACTATTTCCAGAAGATTTATCAACCTATTACCTATCAAGTATCCAGTGTGATTGCTGCATCGTTCGTGCAGTAACATGATGAGCAAGCGTTCTTTTATCTATTGTGTTTCCAATACTTGCGAGCAGTTACAATCACTTAAATCAAAGTGCAGAATTTGTTTCGAACTCGTATGAGTTTGTTTGGACATTTAGGTTTCATTTGGGACGACTTTCTCACTGCTTCTTAAATCAACTTTTTAGTACAAAATTTTTAATATTTGTACTACAAAGCTACTTTAAGAAGCAATAAGAAAGTAGTCCCAAACGAAACCTTAATTGTCCTATTTGCAGTTTGGACATTGGAAACGCTATTCCACTACATTGATGGGCAAATGATGGTACGTGCCTCCCCTTTCTTGATTAAAGCACTTTTTTCTCAGTTTATAAATTTAGATGGTATTATGCATTGTTGTCTTGTATTTTCTTTGCCTTCAGAGTCCTTATTAACCAAAAATTTTGAATATTATCAGCAAAGAACTAAAGAAAGATCTTTGTTTAAACCAGATGAGATTTGTCTATTTTTTCCAGTCTTCTAATAGCTTATAGGGAAATTAGGTCTCTTTTCTATTTGGAGTTTTTTCCTCTTAAAATTAAGTTGCTTGTGTATCAGTTCTTAATGATATCTACAGATGATTCCATCTTTACCTAGAGAAAGTGTGATTTTTTCACTTGTCTTGCATGTCTAGAAATCGCTACATAAATGAAGTTAATTTACATATAACTATCTTTCTGTCTGATTCCTTTTCATCATATATCAATGACACTACCGTGTACTGTTTACACTTGGGAATATTTGATGATCTATACTTTGATGGTTACATATAAGGTCGTTTATTGAGAGGTTTTGTAATGTTTGGTTTGTCGACATGTGTTAAATTCAAAGATTTGGAGATGAAAATGGCTTTAGTTTTATTGCTCAAATATGTCCCTATGTATAGATCTATACAAAATATTTTAATAAAGAAACAAATAATTATGGAATCATGCATAGTTGCACTAATATAATCCTTCCTAAATTAGCCACTAAAATATAGAAGGAGATTGGCGCAATCAAGGTGAGCCTCCCACTGATCCGCATGCTGGCTGTGTGATCAAGGGCTAAGTGATGGTTGAGATTTAACAATATGATCCAGGTGGGCCTCCCACGGATCGTCATGCCGGACGTGGGATCAACGGCTAAGGGATGGTTGAGATTTTAACATTCTCCTTTAAGCTAGGGAATACAGATTTGTCATTTCCAACTTGATAATTAATCCCAGAAAATTAGAGTTATCAAGTCCCTTGGTGCACCATAGAGTCCTCCATTTGGTCAAAATTTTGGGAGAAATTAGTTTTAGATATTGCGGTGACAAATCATTAAGATGAAGGTTATTTCAATCAAGCCTGCAAGGTGCAGGACAACAATGACTTTGCACAAGTCTCTTCTCACCTTGCAAGTCTATGGCTTCGTCTTAGACTTGCGCAAAGTCTGAGTAGTGGCGACTGGCGATCATTCATTGAAGCTGGTGGATTGCGAATTTCACTTCAACACTTCAGGTCTATACTTTGAAGTCGGGATGTCTTAAAACTTTAGTAACATTTGTAGATTCTTCCAATAAAGTTGCTCAATTTTTGTTACACTCTTGCTAATCATATGTTCTTGATGGTTATCTTTATTTCATATTTTATCTTCAATAGATGCGACTCAAATATGGCCTTCAAATATAATTATTTTTTCAGCTCAACGTTAAGATCCATCTTCAATAGACATTTGTAGAAGGATTTTATTGGAAGGTTTATTGCCAACTCCAGGCACGTAACCTCACTGTGGAAGGATTTATTGTTACAAAAATCTTCTATTCACTGTATGATGTTGAAGATAGACATTTGAAGAAGGCTTGGTGTATGCTTTTTGCTGATGATATTCTTCTTATTGATAAGGCTAGGAAGGGAGTTGAAGGAAAGCTTACATTATGGAGGTCAACTTTAAGGTCTAAAGGTTTTCGTTTGAGTAGATATAAAATCGAATACACGAAGTGTTATTTTAATAGTCATAGATCTAGTGGGGGGTATTGTGACTTTGGGCGATCAAATTATTAAAAATAGTATACGTTTTAGATATTTCGGGTTTATTATTTAAAGTGATGGTGAAATAGATGTGTATGTTATTAGCATAATTCAAGTTGGATGGTTGAAGTAGAGGAATGCATCGGGCCTGTTACGATAAAAAAAGTACTCAAACTTGTGGGGATTTTTTATAAGATGATGGTGAGACCTGCAATGCTTTATGATGCAGAATGTTGGCCATTACAAGAGAAGCAAAAAATAGAATTGTGTTGCCAAAATGAGGATGCTCAGGTGGATGAGTGGCTTTACGCTTAGAAATATAATTTGAAACAAGTAATATGTGAAAATGTTATAGTAGCTCCAATGGAAGATGAGATTAGAGACAGTTGCCTTAGATGGTTTGGTCACACCCAGTTAGGAGAATAGATATATTATATTTGACCTATGCTAAAAAAGGTAGAGCTAGACTTAAAAGAGTTGGTTAGAAAGTATTAAAAATGATTTTTTTTTAAATTAGATTTAAATCAAAATTTGACTCTTAATAGCCCATAATACAGAAAAAATAATTCATGTAGTCAATCTCACGTAGTGGGATAAAGGCTTAATATTGTTGTTTTATCTATCTTTCTATAATGATTTTTCCTACATTTAGATAACAATGACTTCTTTTGTAGCTCAACGTTTAGATCAATTAAAATGATGTCATCTATAAAAATATAGACAATAGAGTAAATTTTTACTATTAGAAACATCTAATAGTTAATTTTTTTAATATATAAATATATTATATATTAATATACAGATGCCTCTCATGCCCTGCCTTAAATCTACGTGAAGTTGTGATGGCTCGTTGGTGTTAGTTATTTTTAAAATACTTTGATTATTTAAAAAAATATTAAAATAGTTAAAAGTATGTTTTATTTTTAATTTCATATAATTAAAAATTGGGTCAAAATGTAGATTTAAGAATCATTTGAATCATTTCAAATTGATTAAAAATTTCTATGTCAATCAATCAAAATTTATATTTTATTTATATAAAAGATTTTAATAATTAAGATTTATGATAATAATAATAATAAAATTGCTAGATTTTTTAGCCAATTTTTTTTTCTGTATATTATTATCCCTATAATATATCGTCAAAGTCTCTCTCTCTCTCTCTCTCGACTACTTTGCCCTCTCAGCCGTTCTTTCTCTTAAAGCTTCGCTTCCTCTGCAGTCCATACGGTGTGAGCGGACGAGCTAGATTTTTTAGCCAATTTTTTTTTCTGTATATTATTATCCCTATAATATATCGTCAAAGTCTCTCTCTCTCTCTCTCTCGACTACTTTGCCCTCTCAGCCGTTCTTTCTCTTAAAGCTTCGCTTCCTCTGCAGTCCATACGGTGAGAGGGGAAGAGAGGAGAGGGAGGAAGAAGAGATCTGTAGGAGGAAGAAGAGATCTGAAATGGGTGGTGGCAACGGACAGAAGTCAAAGATGGCTCGCGAAAAGAACATAGAGAAGATGAAAGCCGCTAATAAAGGTTTCTCTTCCAATTCCTTTTCGGTTACTCTTTACTTTGCCGACGCCGATCTAAGATCTTCCCTACGATCCTCTCGATCTCGACTGATTTTCTCTCTTCCGTGTTTTTCTTGCAGGAAGTCAGCTTGAAACTAACAAGAAAGCCATGAACATACAGGTTTGCCTTTTCCTTCAGTTCCTTCCTCATCTTTTTTATGCCTTTTAGGGTTTATGTTTGGTTTTGTGCTCATTTTGTAGAGAATTCTTCTGTGAATTTTTCGAATTGGACTCGTTATTTTTAATTCGTTTCGTAAGGGGATGATGAGAACACGTAGTTCTTTTTCAGGTCACCTTCTCGGTAGTCTAGTCGATGCTTGTTTTCTTCTGTGTATTTTGGAAGTGATGATCTGTTCTTTTTTTTTTTAAAAGGTTTTTTGTTTATGAAAATAGTCTAGGAGAGAAAAATAGAGTTAGAATGGTATGTATTATAGAATTTGGTATATAGTAGTTATGGATTTTAGTTTCAATGGTTAAACTTTGTTTGAATTTTTCTTTCTTTGCTTTATTTATACCTTTAATTGTTTGGGGTTTGGGCTTGCAAGAAATCAAATTGTAAATTTAGTGGTGGATAGATTGGCTGATTGGTTATTGTTGTTTAGTGTCATCCGGATACCCCATGGGGGCCCACCTTGTGGGGCCTCAGGGAAAGCTATTTAGAAGGTTCCTAATCAAGGGGAGTTGTTTAGAAAGGTTTCTAATTAAAGGGGAAAGGTTTTGAATGTTTCCTAATAATGTTTATATTGTTTAGGAAGGTTTCCTAAATCATATTTAATTGTTTAAAAAGGTTTCCTAAATTATGTTTATACTATTTAAGAAGTGTTTAATTGTTTGGGAAAGTTTCGTAAATCATGTTTAATTGTTTATGAAGGTTTTATTTGTGTTATGGTGGCTAGGGCTATTTAAGGGGGAGTTTTTTAGACTTTAGATCATGTTATTGATTAGTTTTGTGAGTATTTATTGTTCATGATTTTTGTGAGGGATTTTAGTGGCATCTAGGATTTGGGAGAGAAGGTCATCCTCTCGAAAGAGGACCATTGTATCTTGGTTGTTCGTATTTCTTTTCTTATTAATAAAATTTGTTGGTTTGCTGAATTTTACAGTTTGCTAATTTTTGGTGCTCAAGTCCTATCAAATTGGGTATAAGAACAATTTCTTGGGACTGATGGCTGGGAGAAGAGTTGAGGTGTTGGAAGAAAAGTTGGAGGGAGAAGCAAAGCAGTTGTGAACGAAGGTGGGATTGTTGAATGAGCCTTTTTTTAGCGATGGAAGGAAGGCTTGGGAATTTGGAAGATATGAAGAAAATGATCGAGATGTAGTTGAAAGCTTTAGCGGCGATTCCTAGGGCTAAGCCAAAGGGAAAGAAAATTCTGAAGGAGATGATGAGAAAGCATGGAGGTGCGATCCAAAATCCCACGTATTTTTCCAAGTGCTAAACCTAATCAAAATTTAATTGGGATTCCCATGGCCAAATTTTAAAGGAAAATATATTGGACGGGAATATTTCGACCAAAATAGCTCCTTCCATCAAAAACCACATCTTAGGGCTCCAAGAAGAGAGGGAGGGGGGGG